TAGGTGGGGTTATGTTAGTTTTGTAATGGACCTATCGTGATTTGTATAGTGATTTGTTGAAAACAGTTCGGTTACTGTACTCACGAGCTATGGTGACATAGATGATTTAGGTAAGGTTATGTTAGTTTTGTAATGTACTTATCGTCAGTGTTGTACATGAACATATGTCCAAGTAAATTATTGGACATGGACAGTCCATAAACAATCTCCAATGTCCATGTCCATAATTTGGACATGGACATGGACATATTTTTTATATGTCCATGTAGGGATGGGTTCGACTACGAACGACTACGATTATTCATAACCAATTTGCCAAATACTGAGATCATTGCTTGTTCTTGAGCTTTTAAATAAAGTTGTTCAGAATTAAATTCCGGACATCCCATATTATAAGTAGAAAGAACGATACTTTCTCTGGAACTCGGAAATTTATGATTGTAACGTCATAGCCGGCTACTAGCCGCCGGCTAATAGTCGGCTATGACGTTAACAAATCTTAAAATTCCGAGTTCCGGAGAAGGTATCGTTCTTTCTACTTATAATATGGGATGTCCGGAATTTAATTCTGAACTTTAATTAAAGCTCAAGAACAAGCATCATCTCAGTATTTAGCAAATTAGTTATGAATAATCGTAGCTGTTCGTAGTCGAACCCATCCCTATGTCCATAGACAGTCCACGTCCATGTCCATTGACAACACTGTTTATAGTGATTTGTGTAAAATTCGGTTATTACACTTACTAACTATTGTGGTTAGTAAGTAGGTTGGATTAGTTTTATAATAGACTTATCGTAATTTGTATAGTGATTTACTACTTACCGACTATTGCAGTTGCGTTGTATAGTAATGGACTTATCGTGATTTGTATAGTAATTTGCTGTAAAAGGTTCGGTTACTGTACTTACCGACTATGTAGGTGATTAGATGGTTATATTTAGTTTGTAATGGACTTATCGTAATTTGTTTAGTGACTGTACTTACCGACTATTGTGGTTATCTAAGTGATTTAGATAAGGTTATGTTAGTTTAATAATGGACTTATCGTGATTTGTATAGTGATTTGCTGTAAAAAGTCAGTTACTGTACTTACCGACTAGATGAGTTATGCTAGTTTTGTAATGGACATATCGTGATTTGTATTGTAAAAAGTTCGGTTATTGTATTTACAGACTATTGTTGTTGCGTAAGTGATTTAGATAGGGATATGTTAATTTTGTAGTATCGTGATTCGTATAATGATTTCTGTAAAAAGTTCGGTTACTGTACTTACTAGCTATTGTGGTTGCGTAAGTGATTTAGATAGGGTTATGTTAATTTTATAATGGATTTGTATAATTATTTGCTGTAAAAAGTTCGGTTACTGTACTTACCGACTATTGTGGTTGCGTAAGTGATTTAATGATTTGTATAGTGATTTGCTGTAAAGATCAGTTACTGTACTTACAGACTATTATAGTTGCGTAAGTGATTTAAGGTCATGTTAGTTTTGTAATGGGCTTATCGTGATTTGTATAATGATTTGCTGTAAAAAGTTCGGTTACTTTACTTACTCGCTATGTTGACATGCGTGATTTGATGTTAATTTTGTAATTTTTGTAATGGACTTATCGTGATTATATAGTTATTTGTTGTAAGTCGTTGTACTTACTCGCTATGGTAATATAAGTGATTTAGATAGAGATATGTTACTTTTATAACGAACCTATGTGACTTGTATAGTAATTTGCTGTAAAAAGTTCGGTTACTGTACTTACTAACTATTGTAGTTGCATAAGTGATTTAAATAGGGTTATGTTATTTTTGTAATGAACTTATCGTGATTTGTATAGTATTTGCTGTAAAAAGTTCGGTTACTTACAGACTATTGTGGTTGCGTAAGTGATTTAGATAGGGTTATGTTAATTTTGTAATGGACTTTTCTGATTTGTATAGTGATTACTTACCGACTATTCATAAGTGATTTAAATAGTGTTATGTTAGTTTAGTAATGGACTTATCGTGATTTGTATATTGATTTGCTTAAAAGTTCGGTTACTGTGCTTACAGACTATTGTGGTTGTGTAAGTGATTTAGATGGAATTACGTGATTTATATAATGATTTACTGCAAAAAAGTGAGATTACTGTACTTACTCGCTATGACGACATACGTGATTTAGATAGTTTTGTAATGGACTTATTGTGATTTATATAATGATTTGCTGTTAAAAGTTCGGTTACTATACTTACTCACTATCGTAACATATGTGATTTATATAGGGTTAATATTAGTTTTGTATGGATTTGTGATTTGCTGTAAAAAGTTTAGTCACTGTACTTACTAACTATTGTGGTTGCATAAGTGATTTGGATAGGGTTATGTTATCTTTTTAATGGACTCATCGTGATTTGTATAGTATTTGCTGCAATAAGTTCGGTTACTGTACTTACGAGCTATGGTGACTTGGGTTATTTTAGGTAGAGTTATGTTAGTTTTGTAATGATTTGGGATCAAATATAGTATAGCAATAAAATTTTCGAAAAGCCACATCACGGCTTTGCTAATGCGGCTCATTACGAAAACCAAGCCTCAAAATGCCACAACATGTGATCCATGATATGGCTTTCGTTGATGGTGTAGTGATTTGCTATAAAAAGTTCGGTTACTGTACTTACGGGCTATGTTGACATAGGTGATTTAGATAGGGTTATGTTAGTTTTGTAATGGACTTCTCATGATTTGTAGTGATTTACTGTAAAAAGTTAGGTTACTGTACTCACGAGCTATGGTGATATAAGTTGTGATCAAAATTATTATTACTTCCAAATTTTTTTAAACTGCTAAAATTTACAAATGTATATTGTACTTACAGCCACTTAACTAATTCATAGGCTTTCTTTGCTAACATGTCATTTGGAATAATTTCTAATAATCTCTTCAAGTCAGCAGTTGACTCAGCATACCTTTTCATCATAAAATTAATTTCTCCTCGATATCTTAATGCTATTGTATTAGCTGGTTCAATTTCTAGCAACCTAGTTAAATCTTCAAATGCTTTATCATACTTTCCCATAATAAATATATTTTTCCTCGATAGTTTAATTCAAATAAATTACTTGGGTCTTTTTCTAGTGATATTGTTAATTCATCAGTTAAAATAACAAGCATATTTTCATACCCGCCCATTATAAAATAAATCTTTTCTTGATATTCCAATGTTAATGCATTATTTGATCTTTTACTAATGTCATCATCTTTTTTTTTTGCTTTTTTTTGAAGCCCTTTGAAACCCCTTAGTAGTGTCAATAATGGCGTTTACCGAAGTCTTCATTGATCATTATCATTAATTGAAATAGGCTAATGTCTTCATTTGTCATTGCTGTCAATTGAAAATGTGTATATATGGACAATGATAAATTCTAAACAAGCCAAAAAGATCAAACCTTTTGAATAAATTTACCAGAATATTTAAATTTTTCATTTCCGAAGTTCACTTCTACTGATCCGCCTTGCGATCTAAATCCCATGTAAGGATATAGATTGCCTTCCAAATCGTTAGGTAGATGGCAAGCAATTCCTTAAAATATTTTATAATTATTGAATTTTATCTATTTACCTTAAAAATACAAACTTCAGTTTCTAAAATTTTGTTACCCAAGTTAATTCCATTTTTAGTATAAAACACTATCTTATTTCTAAAATTTAGATAGCATCCAACTACATCTCCAGTAGTATATCCAGCGGTATATTTATAACGTGGTAAATCATATGGCCCACCACTTCCTGAGCAAAAAGAATACCCGTCATCACATGGAAACCACACCCCATGATTCATTTTCCTCACTTTTTTTATTTTCCACATTTTCTATATTTTTCTTATATTTCTGTCCTAAAGAATTCGATATAAATGATAATCTGTAATTGTAAGAAAATAAATTAAAAATATGCTATTACCGGGCATGAGCATATTATTTATATAAGCTTAATCGTCTATTTTTTTATCGCTTTGCTTTGTACAATATCCGATTCCGATCATTCTATTAAGAAAAATAAAAAATTATAACAAAAGTAATGTTTATGTTATGAAATAATTATTAATTATACCCATTTTTCCCTTTGTTTATAATTTTAATTTCCAAGTAAAATATTCCACACTCTGAAGGGGTTGGATGATTTTCTCGAACAATAACAGCTTTAAAGTCATCAGGATCTTTAATTAAAAGGTTTTTTAATAAATTAAAAAGCTACGTTGATATTTTTTAAATGCCAATGATTACAATAACAAATTAAATATGTTTCTAATTTTTAAATTTACCTGTATAATTCGCTTTAAGTCCACTTGAATCAATGTCAATAAACGGTGATTTATCTTTAATATCCCATGCAGTCGGTAAAACAATATAATTGATTAATTCTAAATCTCCCATTAGGTTAAATTGAACTCAGATCTTTCGTTTAGACGTCAATGAACATATAAAAGTAATTTATAGATTTTGTAGTACGTACGTACATGAATACAGGAATACAAATTGAACACAATGTGTATTTCATGTTTATCGAAAATTTAATTTGTGTTATACGTCATACAATTAAAATCAATTAAATTATCAAAAAATTAATTGAGACCCAATTAATACCGAAATAATTGCAATTAATTGCCCCCACAATCAATTATTCTGTAGGCCTGGTGTATATGTACGCAGCATCCGTGCACATCAGCCATTTCTAAATGATCGTAAATTCTCGATACCGTGTAGACTCGGAATAATGCCCACCTGCGCGTTATTGTTGGGTAGTTCGTCAAACTTCGCGTTCATGTGATTACCAAAATTCTTTGAAGTAGTTTGTGCTAGGATTAGCATTTAGGTTTGGAGAAATTGAACCTATACCTGTGGTAGAGGGTCTTATCCTGTGTCTGACATGTGACTATGTTTATATAAAATTAAATTAAACTAATCAACATAGAATCGCGTGTTTTTTCCGTCGTCGTTTTTGTGGTGCCTTTGTCATGCTTTCGTCATCGTTGTGTAGTGATTTTTTTTTTTGTCCTTTCATTGTCGTTCTTGCAGTGCTTTTTATCGCTCTTTTGTGTTGCTTTCGTCATCATTTGGTGTTGTTTTTGGTCGTTGTTTGGTGGTGCCTTTGTTGGTAATTTGGCGGCGCTTTTGGTCGTCGTTTGGTGGTGCCTTTGGTCGTTGTTTGGTGGTACTTTACGTTGTAGTTTGTTGGTGTTTTTGGTCGTAGTCTGGTGATGTTTTTGGTCGTAGTTTGGTGGTGCTTTTGGTCGTCGTTTTTTGTTGTCGTTTGTTGGTGCTTTTGATCGTGCTTTGATCGTCGTTTGTAGTGCTTTTGATCGTTATTTGGTGGTACTTTTGTCATTGCTTGGTGATGCTTTTGATTGTTGTTGTTGGTACTTTTGGTCATTATTTGTAGAGTTTTTTTGTCTTGCCATGCTTTTTGTTGATTATGATTTTTTTCGCTACTTTGTATTTTTTTTTAATAAAAAATTGTTTTTAATAACAGAACAATAAAAAAAAAAAAAAAGACTTTAAAATTTTCAATTTTTTAATAATTGGACTAATCACAGTACTGCAGTAAGGCAGTACAGGATAAAAATTTATACCTCCTGGGCATAGGATAAACGCCTCTACTCCGGGTACAGGATAAGGACGCTCTTTAGGTTCGAGTTTGGCTATACAGTAAAACTGCTCAAGGACTATCTTTTACTAGTGCTCGAAAAAGTAATTTTTTTTTTAGAAAATATATATTTTTTTCAAAAAGGAAGAAACTTTTTTACAGTACTGCAGCATGTATGTAGATTAATAACCACGTGACTAAATTTGCAAGAGAAACAAAAAAATCCATTTGTATTATTTTAAAATTAGATGTATATTATCACAATTTGCAACATCATATTTTAAACGCTTTAAGGACATCTTTATTTACAAAATATTCCACATTATATCAATATAAACATTGGAATTTATAAAAGCTAGTAATTTATCTTATATTTGTAACGAATATTTTTTTCAGCTGTTATCGATAAATCACAAAACCAAATCTTCATACGTTCATTTGAATTACTAAAAAAAAATTATATTCATTAACAATAATAAATTAGTCGCATGATATTTGTTATTAAAAGAATATATATAAAAATAAAATCTTACATTTAGCCCATTCTAAGGCCTTTTGCAAATCTCTTGTTACTCCAATCCCATTTGCATAACATTGCGTAACGAGATTTATTCCGTTAGAGTCACCCATTTTGGCAGATTTTAGAAAACAGGCGAATGCTTTATTTTCGTCTCTTTCAACCCCAATTCCACGAAAATAACAATGACCAAGAGCAAATATTCCTTTAGGGATCTCCATATCGGCAGATTTTTGATAATAAAGAAAAGATTTTTTCTCGTCTTTTTCAACACCAATACCATTAGCATAACAGAATCCAACATTCATTGTGCCGTCAATATCACCCATATCAGCCGATTTTAAATAATAAGTAAATGCCTTACGTTCATTTTTTTTGACACCGACTCCATAAAGATAACAGTTACCAATACTGAATACACCATCAGAATTTCCCATTTCAGAACATTTTTGAAAACAACTTAATGCCATACGGCCATCTTTTTTAACTCCAACACCGTCATAATAACAACATCCAACACTATATAATCCACTAATGTTTCCCATATCAGCCGATTTTTTATAATAGCTAAATGCTTTATATTCGTCTTTTTCAACACCAGTTCCGTTAATGTAACAATGTCCAAGCATATATGCACCACCATCACTTCCCATTTCAGCACATTTTTGATAATAATAAAACGCTTTACGATCATCCTTTTCTATATATATTCCATTTTGATAAAAGTGACCGAGTGCAAATAATCCATCGACACTACCCATCTCGGCAGATTTTTTGTAATAAATGAAGGCTTTGCGTTCGTCCTTTTCAACAGTAATTCCTTTATCATAATAAAAACCTACATTATAATGTCCATTAGCACAATCTAATGCAGCAGCTTTTTGATAATAATCGAACGCCTTGTGCTCATCTATTTCAACACCAATTCCATTTCGATAGCAACATGCAACGTTGTATGTCCCGCTAGATTCACCCATGTCGGCAGATTTTTTATAATAGAAGAATGCCTTACTTGCATCCTTTTCAACACCAACACCATTCATATAACAATGACCGACCATGTATATTCCCTTAGGATCATTCATCTCGGCAGATTTTTGAAAATAGGTAAACGCTTTCTGATCATCCTTTTCAACACCAACGCCGCTAAGATAACATTCGGCAAGATAATATATTCCAGTAACGTTATCCAATTCGGCAGACTTTTGGTAATGAATAAAAGCTTTGTGTCCATTCATTTTAACACCAATACCATCATGATAAGAACGTCCAAGACTATATAATGCACAAGAATACTCGTAGTCGGAAGGTTTTCTGTAAAAAGCTAAAGTATCTCTTTCGAATCTATAATTATCATTACGAGATCTTTCAGATTCACCTAATTCAACAGCTTTTTTATAATAAGTGAATGCCTTATGTTCATCTTTTTCGACATTAATTCCTTTTTCATAATAATAAGCAACATTATATGTACCAGTAGAGTGACCCATTTCAGCCGATTTTTGATAATAATTGAACGCCTTACTTTCATCTTTTTCAACACCAAATCCGAGATGATAACAACCAGCAAGAAGAAATATTCCATCGATATCGCCCATTTGAGCAGCTTTTTGAAGATAATTAAAAGCATTTTTTTCATCTTTTTCAACACCATTACCATTAAAATAATAAAGTCCGACGTTATACGTTCCATTAGCGCTTCCCATTTCAGAAGATTTTTTAAAGCAATTAAATGCTTTATAATCATCTTTTTTAACACCAATACCATATTGATAACAATGAGCAAGATTATTTATTTCATTAACATCATCGGTTTCAGCAAAATTTTGAAAATAATTGAATATTTCACTTTCGTCTGTTTCGTCGATTTCAGTAAAGTTCCTCGTATCATAGTCGTAAGTAATTGTTCTATTATCAAATAGATAATTATAAAGATAATTTAAAAAATTATAAATTATCTCCATTTTTTTGAATAACAGAGGTGAAGGTGAAAAAAAAGTAAGAGCGTATTGAACGTATTGAACGTATTGTTTTTGTTTACAGCAAAAAAATTTTTATGCAGATCGCTTGATATGTAAATCAAGTGATTTGATTACATCATTGTGTTACAAAATGATCTTTGAATGCGAATTAATTCTTTAAACACACATTACTATATTATCGTTATCGTTATAAAATTTTAGAATACTTAACCAAATTGCATTTTTTTTTGGTTCACTTACTTAAACCCGCAATTATTTTTTGTTTTCCTATATTTAACCATGATTTAAGTATTAAGGATAATTATTCAACGTACTATTAAATTGTAAAGGTAATTCATCTTATCGTTATAAAATCATAATATGTGTTTGAATTTTTTCTAGAGAATTAATAGACACACTTAGAGATGTGCGAATGCAAGTTTTTTTGGCGCTGCATCACATAATGCATTATGTAATTCTGTACGTATAATATAGATATCTCAAAACCTATATGTATTAAACAGACTTTGTATTGTTACTGAGAGGTTATCAGATTCGAAAACATAAACTATTAGATTTTATAGTGCAAACAGACCTGGTAGATTGATTTTTTATTGGATTTCACAGGCCATTAATATTGATAGGAACAAGTGTCTATAAAGTGATTGTTGATGAAATGACATAGATCAAAAATACATAATAACTTC